CACCTTCGTGAGTTCATTCGCTCTAATTTGCGTAATTGTTTGATGCGTTCGAATATATAATGGTACTGTTTGTTAAAGATAGCGCAAAGGTTCAATGCTTATGGCGTTGAGCGTACTTATGGTACCATGCCTGATGCCTCTAGTCCTGACATGGGCAAACGACGGACCGCGTGTGAAATCCGTCCCGTTGCGAAATTTAATTTGACCCGCCTGATGCTGCCACAACCAAGCTAAAACCAAATTTTGATGTTTAAGCTGGAAAAAAGCTCAAGGAATTTGTTGAGGTTGCGATAAAATTTAGTTTTAGCATGAGGCTTTTTGTTTTTCTCTTTTGTTTTTGTATGATTTCAAAAGGCTAGCATTTTACATATAAGTTACGGCTTGCACAAATCCGTGATCGATGTGATGGCGTGCGCAATTGACTGAGCTCCAGGAAGGCTTTTACCATTGTAACGTTGGTGATTGTACGTCAGTTCGCAGGTTCGAATCCCATGGGAGATGATTCTGTGTGAAAAAGCGACTGCGGATGGTTCATGTTGCCGCTGTTTGGTTATGGCTTAACTTTTTACTACCATCACTAAAGTATACGCAACTGAAGCAATTAACTGGCGAGGTATTGCCATAATCCACTAAGACTGGGAACTGCATGTTAGTAACTATGAATGTCCTATTCTTCCAAAGTCCTAAGCCTGCGCTTTTTATTTCTTTCTTAAAATAGCTCACAGCCATTATGCGAGCATTCCATTCAGGAAAAGGTTCCCAACTTCTGAAATATAGTTAGACATACTATAATCTCTCGACGTTATTTTGACAGATTTAATCATTTTCTCACAAGTTTTATTCGAGACAAATATATAAGAAGTTCTAGGAGACGAATTGTTATTCCGCGACGCACTCAACACTATATCTGAAGGACTCTTGGTTAGGGTTATCGCATTCTTTATGTCACGTTATCAGAACTCACTTATATAATCTCCAATTATAACTATGTTTCTCCAAAGGCATTTACACTATAAAAAGTTTACCAAATTGACTAGAATCTATCGGTAACTTGGTGGGCTTTGTAGTTAGCAATACTAGAAAAGCGTAGTGAACTACCCAGTTCTTGCTCCAATCATGATTTTCTGACCTGTTTCTTTGATCCCGTTTAAATTCGATTGGATTATTTCCGGCCTTCGACCGAACCCGCTAGCAGTTACGGTATAACTTGGCAATTAGAAATTTTTGAACCTCCCCTTCCTTTCAAAACTCTTGGCTACGCGACTGCTCTGCCTCAACATATCTTAACTGTATATAAGCATTAGATATATAGCATCGTATTCTTTATCGCATTCTCTGTCTCGTGTTATCAATACCCACTTATACAGAGTCTAGTCATAACTATGTTTCTGCAGAGACATTTTCACTATAAAAAATTCAACAAATTATCTTATATATATTGGTAACTTAGCAGGCTTCGATCTCCTCAAAACAGTTTAATTGGCAATACTCAAAAAACCTTGGTCGCTATCATGTTGCTCATCATTAATTTTCTGATCTCTTATGGCCGTTTAGCGCAGGGTTAGTCAAATTACGGCCCGCGGGCCGGACCCGGCCCACCGAAGTTGTTCATCCGGCCCATTTGTGTCTGCTGAAATTCCGACTATAGTATTTACAAATATAAATATCCGTTGAAAATATCGTCATAATGACTACGATTGTTACATTGTGCTTATAATTATTATATAAACGTTATGCTAGCTGTTGGACCAGCTGTTGTAAACAAACTATTTTTTATTCATAGTTTTTCTTATTAAATTTTGACTCTACTCTCCGACTCAGTACTGGATTGGATTTTTAATTCAGCATAAAATTCATTGAAATAATTAATAATGGAATAAAACGTTTAAAAGGACTTAGAAAACTAAGCAGAATCTGAACACTATCTCGCTTAGAGAGCAAATAGTAGCAAATGTACCAGGTTAGAATTAGGCCATAATTTTATTCCGATTTTCCTTATTTTAGTTCTATTAAGAGTTCGGGGACTGTCTGTGTTAGCCAAGTGAATATAACCCCTGTTCATAGGTATCAGTACATTTTAGGGTTGCCAAGGTTGGAGAAAATAAAAGACAATCAGCATTTTTTCTTAATGCTAAAAAGGACAAGGATCGAAGAGCTTAACTAAAGGATTATCTTTGAAATAAAGGACGGTTGACAACCCTAGTACCTTTATACAACTTGTAAAGTGGGCGAACAAAATTAGTTACCTCCGTTTTTGTACATACACTTCTAGAGCGTCGATTAAAATATAGATAAAATAATATTAAAGTAAAAAAGTTTCGTAAATCAAATAGGCAAAGCTAAACTCACGCCGTTCAGGCGCAAGATTTCGCAAATATTATTCGTACAGCTAGTACAAGGTTGCCATATTTCGTGGCCTCTCTTGCTTTCACTTTATTATGCTTTTCTTGAATGGCTAACAAAAAAAGAAAAATAATTTTTGATTGATCGACATTTGTTGACTGCCAAAAGTGTTGTAAACATTCAGTCCTGATCCCACTAATATCCTGAAGATAGATTCGCGCCACGCAATAAGTCAACTCTGAAATGGTTTTTCATTCCCAAGAGAATAAACTGGTCGGTGGACTAGCTGAGTTTACATCAATACAGATATATAATACCTCGATAACTAATCCCATACCCGACATAGATGGGTAACCGGACGAGAGGCCGACGTTCGTCGTATGATTAAGTCGCCTTATAGACTTTTCTATACCCTAGGATAAATATGTAAATCCTATCCTGTATATACTATGACTTTTCACACAGTTTCGTGATTCCTTGTAATTGCACCAAATTTTCCTGAAAAATCGTAATACTATTTATATCAAGAGCCGCGGTTCGCCCTGTCGCCCTATTCGTCTTTCCTTTCTACACAAAAAATATTAAAATCCCTATTTATCAGTAGCGAATACCTATAAATTTTTTCGGCGTGCATGAACTGGCTGCAAAAGCAAATCGTGGAAAATGAAAATGTTTCCTGTCGAGACTGAAAAGTATTTTCTTTACGCTATGCACACAACGTTTCCTGCCTTATTTATAACTGTGCATACGCACTTTCGTGTTCTGTGTTCCATAACCATCGAGTAAAAGAATTTTTTTAGTGCATCATAGGAATTTTTAAAACTACGTTTGGGTTTTCCCATCTAACATATTTCCCCGTCCATTGTATTTTTTTTGTTAGGTCTTGCCATGTGTTTGCAGTAAATATTATCTTGAAAAACACTTACTCATCTGAATACCGTTTAAGACAGTCCGAATTTCTCTTCTTATCCTTCACGTATTATGTCCGTGTTCAAAATACAAATAATTTCTCGATAACTTGACATGTATTCTGTCCGCATAGCAGCGCTATAGTGTTGTCAATGTTACTATGGTAACGTCGGTGAAAATTGTTCGCTGGCTAAAGGTTCTACTAAATGTTGGGATTTACATAGGAATTAGGATTTATATTTCTTATCCAGGGGGGAACAGAGCCGATAAAACGGCTCAATCATACAGTGAACCACGGCCTCTTGTTCAGTTGCCAGTTCATGTCGGGTAAGGAATCAAATAGTCAGGTATTTTGTTTTCAGATGCATGGACTTGATTAGTTAACTGATGTTGTGGGTTGAGTTGAAATCCCCATTTTTTGCCTGCGTTACTACTGTACTATGCTGCATACTCTTATACTGCTGATTTTGAAATAAAGAATAATTAGAAATGGATTTGTTTACGACGTAACTTTTAGATGAGATGTAATAGTATAGTTTTTCTATTAAGAAGTCCTTCTCATACAGACATAGTCTACCGGCCTGCTGCCAGGATATGACACCATCGTCATAATCCCTGATGCTTTTGAAACGGTTGAATTGGTTCATATTCATATTTAAAAATAGGCCTTAAATTATGTATGAAAGTCTTGCTGGAGGCTCCTTTGTCACCACACAACCATAGGGCAGTAGGGTGGTTTGCGTAACCGATATTTGATTATGCCTTTCACTGCCATCAAGTTCATGCATCAGAAACAAATAACTGGCTAACTATTTCAAGACCCAATTAAACTTGACAAGAGGTTGTTGTTCTCCATTGATTAGGTTGTCTTCTCATCTTTTCCTTTCTGTTATTTTCTCGAATTTTATTGTTATATAGCTCAACTGCTAAACACATAAATTTGTTTTTATGTTAATCGGGTTATTTCTTTGAAGAGTTTAATAGTCATATTAAAAGATTGCGCTTTTTTTTAGTTTAGTGGTGTTTTATGTCGGTATGGCGTTGATCAGATATGCTGTAAAAAAGTGCTGTGTTTTCGTTCTTTTATTGAATGTCTGCAAAATTTTGTGCTAATTTTACATTACTCAAAAACCTATGCTTGCATGTAGACCATAATTACTTGCCTAGGACTACAAATTAATCAACATGTAACCTTTAAACCACGGTAGTGAGATAATAGTTCTAATTCAAATAGATTGCAATCAAGTCATTTCGGATTGCCCAATTATCAATGATTTTTTTGGCAATATATTCAGCCATTTACGCACAATTGAGCAAAACAATTTGGCTGCCACAACTACTGCAGAGTCAGAAGTTGTGCTTCATTCAGTGACCTTTTGCAGTAACTTGTACCAGTGTTGTAGGTGTCGCTGCTTGGAGATATATCTTGATCTCTCGCAACTGCGGTCACACAAATAATTAATATATTTATTTGTTGTATCAGTTTTCTATACACTTGTATAAAATAAACCAGTGGTATGCAACCCTTCAATGCAGGCGGGCCAGATATAAATAACTGGGTGACACCGCCGGTCGCACCTTTATTCAATATAGGACTTCTAGTAGTTCCAGGCACAAAAAATTTGGTAATTGATCTTATGACATGCGTTTATTGCACAAGCTAGCTGTTAAGGCTATGGATAATTAATCGGACTCAGGTACAGGCTTTTCGTCGCAAAGGGGTTGAAATTACTTACAATCAACTGAATTACTCGTTACGCGGGGCGCACATCATTCAAAATTTTTCCTAGAGGGTCGCATTTGACCCGTGGACCGCAGGTTGCACATTCCTAGATTAAACAATTGACCGACTAACTTTTTTCTGGTTTAACTAGTAAGTTCCAATCAAAAGTTAAATTTTAATAGTTTGTTAAAATCTCACCAATATGCCTCCGAAAAAGAAGGGAGGGAAGAAAGGGAAGAAGGGAAAGAAAGACAAGGAAGAAGGATCAGCGACAGGGGAACGTCCAACCAGTGGAAAGGAATTAACGGAACTTAGTAAAGAGTTTTTTATGATTCAAGTGAAAGATTTGGAAACAAGGTTAAACAGGTGAGTTGAAGCACTGGGTGTTAAGTTGGTACAAATGTATATTTTGAAAAAGCAATGCTTAAATATAATTATGCAGATGAGTTCCATTGAAAGCCTTCATTGTGCTTCATTTCTTGCAAGTTTTCCTCTCACACTTATTCTGCATTTGTACATTATTGCTACCCCAATCTATTTCTACTAAGTACCCTCAAATTTTTGTTATTAATTCATGTAATTTACTTGTGTTGTACCTGAAGGTCCAATGACTAATGCAATACAACTAGGGCTGTCCAAGCGAACCGAATATTCGAAATCGAATCGCAAATTATTCGAAGCGCTTTTCGGCCAATTTACAAATCGCTAAAATTTGGTACATGATGAGCCTCACGACCACCTTTGCAACGCGAAAAATCATTTAATTTAAAATGAGGCAAGGCACGTCTGTAAACAATTAAAGATTGTTGCATTCAGATTATCGGAATATCACCAGTAAGTCGGCACAAATAACACTAGCTAGATAGCAAAGAAGGAAAACGCAAAAATGGTGCAATAACGAGTCCTCGCCGTGAGGTTATATTACCGACTTCTTGTCCTGAATATGCCGATTGAAATTACAGTGTTTGATGTTTACCGATTTACGGGTTCTTTGCGAGCAGACGCAAGTTTAATTGAACAAGAGAGATTTCCACGCGAGAAAAATGCTCGTCTATAATTGATAAATTAGAAACCCGAAATACAAAAATTGACGCTTGGCGCCGGAGAGGCGGAAACCGAATCCTGTTATCGGATCCCGTTGGATTCGAATACTTTGGGATTCGAATCCTCCGGATTCGGTATTCTACATTGCCCATCCCTACAAATAATTGCACTCTTGTGAGTTGATGGCTGTTGTACAGCAAAAATATGATCATCAAATATTAATGTTATCAAACTAGCTCTGAATTTTTGAGTTTCCGAAAAACAATTTTGAATTTTTCAGGCAACAGTTATATCTATATTAATAGTTGTTTATCATTTTACTGAAAATTACACAAAAAATATTGGGTTAATAATACTAATGATAATAGGACTAAAATAGCAACTACGGGCAATAAAAGAGTCTGTGCAATTTCCAACTCTTAAAACTTGATAGTTTTCAAAACCCTAAATTTTTGACCAGTTCAAGGAGGCTTGTGATCTCCTTTTATAACTCTGGAAACAAAGGTATGCAAAATATTTGCAATAATTTAGGTATGACTGCACATATGTTATCACAATACTGAAGAGGAAGTTTTCATTGTACATTACAGACAAATTTAGGATTACGCAATAATATTCGATTATTCAGTTCGATTCGAGAAAAATATTCGGTTCGTCGATTTTGGACAGCCCTATTTCAACCAAGGGCGACTTACATTGAAATCCGTTATCTGATTATTCAAAATTGCAAATTTAATAGCCTACCCGTGCCAGAGCAATTTACGCTGGTTCAGATAAGGCATTAGTCGGTGATTTTCATCCTTTTTCATTCTGTGGCCTATTATCTTTTTCATGTAAGCAAAAAAACTGCAAAAAAAAGCAAAAAATTATTCTTGCAGAAATAAACACTTCCACATTACTACCCAATAGGAAAAAACAGCATCATCGTATATTTCTAATACAATTAAATTTAACTAATATATCAATGACTTTATGTGGCCAATCTGAAAATGTATCTGTGGTTATCTCAGTGAATAATTCAGAGAATGTTTTGTGTAGGCCAATATGCGAGGCTGACGAAGGTCATCGACGCTCCGTTTTATATACCAAAATTAATTAAACTGTCAGAATTGGTTGTGACAATGTAAAAAAACAACCATAAAAAAATTGGTGCTCTCGAAGTATGCGAACCAAGATGGCGGACATCGGAACGTAACATGGGTAACTGGTTTGGGTTAGGCGATAATTTTTTTCCAATTTTCCTTATTTTAGTCCTATTATCAGTTCGAAGACCATCCAAGAGCCTCCCGTAGTATTTATACCTAAAATTATGGCCTAACCCTAACCTAGTACACATATTACATTCCGATGTCCGCCATCTTGGTTCGCATACTTCGGGAGCCCCAAAAAATTACCCCACATTCACATTTCACTCTACTCTCTAATTTTTACAATGCTACTAATCCAGATACCAGCAAGTTGCATAGAGCAGTTTTTTCAACAACAACAATAACACTAACACCCCAGCAGCAAGAATCAACGTCAATTTAAAATCTCAACAAAGAGAATTTTAGAATATATTCTAAATCAATCCCTGGCAAAAATCACCCAAGGTCAAAGCTTGAAATCACATATTTTTTATTTAATCCAGGTACCAGCAGAAATGTGACGCCCTTGATATTTCGAATAAAGAATTCCAAGGGAAATATGATCAGCAAGTCAAAGACAAGAAGGAAATTGTTTCATTTCTGAAGAAACAACTTGAACAACGGTCTGACGAGATTTTAGATTTGAACGATAAATTGGCTGCATTACAACAGGTGAATGAATGGCTCAATGCGGGGTACTCCCGAAGTATGTGAACCAAGATGGCAGACACCGGAACGTAGTACCAGGGTGGGGGTAGGCGATAATTTAATTCCAATTTTCCTTATTTTGATTCTTTTACGATTTCGGGGACTAGCCAAGTGACTCCCATAGTATTTGTACGTGAAATTATGGGCTAACCCTAACCTGGTACACATACTACATCCCGGTGTCCGCCATCTTGGTACGCATACTACAGGAGCACCTAATGCTGTGAGGTAGAATAAATATGACATCCAAAACTGACTCTAAAGCTTTTTAAAAACTACTCTGGCTCAGACTCTTCGCTTTGTGTTAACAAAAAATCTATAGGCTACTGAATGCATTACAGAGGTCCTTTTAAAAATTCCGATTATCACCATTATAAAGCCATTTTATCAGATTACCTCACCCCAAATATTGAAAAATGACAACTTTGGTTCCTCGCGGCTTCCCTTCCTCAGTTAAAAAGTGTGATTATCTTTTTTCTTCATATTTTATGTAAAACTGACTTTTTTACTGGTTGGGACAAATAAACTTGACTTGTCAGCTTTAACTTTGTTGGTATTGCTATTTGCAGTTCATTACAGGTTCAAATCCCATGAAAGGGTGTTATAGATGCCGAATCAGAAATATTGTGGTTTTCTTGAAATAGTAATATATCAGTGGTTGTTTGTGTAGGGCCATGTTAGGAATGGAAGGTTTGAATAATCACCATAATAAAAAAACATATATTAACTACCGGTACTAAACACTTGACAAATTAATGATAAATTGGCTATGTAATGCCAGGCCAAAAAGTAAAGTCGGTTCTTGGATGTCACTGAAATATAACTAGCTGATTGTGTGAGGCCTTGTTCAGTAGATGAGTGAAATTGGTAGCCGTCCACAAAAAATGTCACACACCCCTTCTCTAAAAGAATAGCTGCGTCTGGTGCTTAGATTCAAGAGAAGATACAGATTAAGCTAAACTATAATATTTGGATGCATACATCTTTGGTAGCAACTAATAATCTTAAAAGAAATTACGGTATTTCTTTTTTCAGGCCAAAGACACTGAAAAGGAATCTTATGAAAAACAACTGGCAACACTGAAACATGAATTCCAAGAAATGAAAGATCAGCTGACGTCAGAAAATATGATCCTGGGTGGAAAACTGTCTTCGCTTGAAGAATTTAAGGTTCGGTTGAATTGAATCAAATCTTATCCAACTGCTAAGTTCTGGCATCGAACGGGAAAAGACCTTTTTAGTATATGTGTTGTAAAGATGGTATCATTCTTTAAGAGGTGATCGGGGGAGTTTCAATACTTATCCCACTTGTGCTTCATATAACAAGTCACGAGTCAATGCTTAAAGTCAGCGGTAACCAACAGGCGACCCGCTAAGCCTTTCAGATTGGCCCTAGTCAACACTCCTCATCAAGCATAAAATTCAAATCCGACAGTTTATGTTTAAAATGTCGCTCACATGGTAAAAATACATTTATACATTATAATGTTTTTTGCAGTTGTCAATGCCTTAAATCGTTCACTATTTTACCCTTATTACTGCAAAGCTAAGTGATAGCTGCATGAGGCTGCATTCTCTTTTCTTGCCTTTTTCGCGACGTTGTGTAAATGAAGAAATTTAAGTTTTTGTGCAATCCAGCTAAATGTCTGAAGTTGCGTATATGGCCCACCTACAAAAAAGACCCCTGCTTTAAGTCGACTTGTAAAAATACATGAATTTTTTTTTCAATATCTGCAATTTCTAAGAGCAGACATGTCCTTCTCTTTTGCCTTTTTGAGATGAGACAGCTTAATCATTCCGAACCGTCATTTATACTCCCAGGTTCAAAAAGATGATTTGATGAAAAAATTCGCAGACATGGAAGAGAAGCTGAGACAACAAGCAGAAAGCCACAAAGAAACAATTTATAATTTAGAAAGAAAAGCTGTTGTGGATAAAGACAGGTAACTGATGGATTTTGTTTGGAATATTCATATTAATCCTGAGGGTGAGGAAGATGGGTGGCCTAATCATTAATCATTTGCTTCGACTGAAAGCTCTATCTTAGCAATGAATCCTTATATACCTATGTCACTGCAACAATGATTGCTCACAACTCCTTTATGAGCACTTTCATTTTCGCATTTCGAGAAAAAATAACATAAATATAGAATACTAGCATAGTTGTAACAGACCTCAGAAAGGTTGGAGGGGGGCCAAAGCGCAGAACTGATTTCATTATTCCCTTTACAAGAATACTCTCCGTTCTTCCTAGTTTTATTCCTTAATAAGGTTATTTCACAATATGTTTTGTCTTCGTTGAGCACGATTTGTTTGGATATAATGGATGGGATTTGGAATGTACCAATCAAAATAACACTCTAAATACCACAGGAATGATAAACAAGGGAACATGAGTGCTAAAAGCCTCAAGAATGGGAAAGTTTGGAAACCACTGCCCTTCATGTATTTTATTTTTCTACTTGGCTACTCGGAACTCTGAACAAGGCCCCCTTAAGCTGCCTAGGCCTATTATTTTTGTAAGACCAAAATATCCCAGATTCGGCATTGTCTACCCAATTTAATTACACCTTTATGGGATTTGAACCTGAAATATCTAACTTGCTGTGCCAACGAAGTCGAGTCTGCGCTTTGACTGCAAAGCCATCGCGCTCACTTGAGACACACTCGACATTACTGCCAAAGATACTCCTGTAGTATATGTACCAGATTAGGGTTAGGCCATAATTCTATTTCGATTTTCCTTATTTTAGCTCTATTCCGACTTTGGGACTGCCTTTGTTAGCCAAGCGAATATATCCCTTGCCCATAGGTTTCAGTTCCTCTACACAACTTAATGTAAAGTAGGCAATAAAAATCAGTTACCTCCATATTGGTACACATACTTCTTGAACGCCTTCCCAACTGCCAAGTTTAATTGCAAGCCTGTACTTAATCCTATTTGCGGGCCATCCATTTAAATATTCATGTTTTCATATTTAGACTCAAAAAAGAAATGGTTCTACGAGTAAACACGGTGGCAGCAGAGTTTCGTAAGGTATCGAACAAGCAGATGGCAGACACAACAAAAAGGACAATCAGAGAAAACGTCTCAATCAATTCTCAATTGTCAAAGATGTCTGAAAAAACTAAAGACCTAATTCAGGTATTCAATGATAAAATAACACCATTGTTGCCTTTCCTAAGTATTGAATATGAAAGCTCGGCGGTTGACACATAGTGGTAGAAACAGGACTGCCATCGCACATATGATTATCAAGTGCAAGTTCGCAGGTTCATATTTTGCAAAAATATATTAAAATTCTGGTGGCGGTGTGGCGCATCGTGCTAAGCATTAAAAATACGCCCGCCATCACACCACTGATTTCCCTGCGTGGGTTCGAACGTTCGAATCGCATGCATAAATGTTTATGTTTAAAATGATTACTGGACTCCTCGATGCTGCAGGATGGTTCCCAGTTACCGCTGGTCGGTAACGACTTTCTCAATCAAGTCTATGCTACTGAAAACAAATACTGAGCTAAATAATCCCATACCCTCTTTGAACTGGTAACTGGACAAGAGGTTGTGGTTCGCCATATGACTAAGCCGTATTATCAATCTTCCACTCCCGTGAGTTGATTATGTAAATCCTATCCTATGCAGTATGGCTTTATATATCAGTGGCTTGTTCATGGCCTTGTTCAGAGCGAAAGGGCCAAAAAAATTTTTGTTTGTGACTATTCTTATCTTATTATACAGGAGAATGATGATTTAACTGATAAAGATCAGAAACAGAAAATCCAAATTGAACTGTTGGAGTCGACACAAGAGGAATTTGCAAAGAAGAATCATAGTAATTTGAAGGTAATTGATTTGTAAGAAAAGCGTTGCAAGTATTGTACTTCTTCGTCTAGCAATTTGAATTTAAGGTGTCCTAAGAAATTGCTATTTATAACAAGCTTTTGCGGTATGTGTTGCCCCATTCATAGAGGCAATTAACTGTTTACCTATTCACATATCCGCAAGAACTGATAAACGAACGTGCATCCTTAGTTAGGAGTGATAAGTGCCACGATCGCATGTCAAGCATCTTGAGTTCAAATCCCATGCCCACCACTTGTCCCAGGTAGTAAAATCGGGTCTCCTGTAGTTTCGTACCTAACGTACTTCTAGTAGGCGTAGCAAAACAATTTTTTGACATGTCAATCCTAACCCTCACCTGACTACGCCGTCCAAAAATTACGTCACTACGACGTCACAATCACGTCATAGAACTTGCCAAATACTCGTACGATGGCCCGAAATGACATCGGCGCCGACGATGAAGAACTGACTAACGTCAGCGATCTCTCTCCTATTGGGATCGTTGCGACGAGAAAACGAGAGAAATGGCTGTTCGATTTCGAGTTCTCGTCTGCGCGTCTTGGATGACAGTTCGCATAGTTTGAAGGGCTCTATTACGTCACTGTGACGTCGTAGTGACGTAATTTTTGGATGGCGTGGTCAGGTGGGGGTTAGGTTTGATACGTGAAAAATTGTTATGCCACCCTTACTAGAAGTACGTTAGGTACAAAACTACATGAGACCCGTTAAATCTAGGTATCACCTTTCCCAGGTAGTAAATCAGTTTGGTAATGGGGGAATCGCGTACGGCAGATAAAATGAGCACACGCGGCAATGCCGAACTCGAGAAATTGAGGACTTTTTAAGGAAGATTAGTTACGGTGGGTTACATTAGTTGCTGACCAGGTGTGTTTCCTTAGTCCACCATATGCCATGTATCCGGTCATCAGCTTTCCTTTCCCCCAGAATAGTTATAAAACATTCCTAAATTTATCCAGGTGATCAGAATGTTGACGGAAAAAGCAAAACAACAAGAAGAAATGATTGAAGAATATGAGATGAGAGAGCAAGAATATGAACAACTTGAGACTGAGGCAATGCATTTGAGAAATGAGAACTCTGAGTTTAACACTCAGATTGAAGAGTAAGTCTGAATATTCTTTCTGTGTTTCCTTGACAGTATAGACTCGAATTGGTTCAAGTCTTGTGTCTATTTCTATGTTATTTGTAATGACTTAGTTAGAAACACGTTTTTATAGCATTGTGTACTTTGCAATTGGATTTTGTTAGCTAATTTTGCTAATAGGAAAGTGGCACTCAGGTACTGGTATAGGCTTTGCGACGCAAAAAGGTTGAAATTGCTTGCACATACCTGATTAAGGTAAACTGAAAACTCGTTTCGCGGGCACACTGTTTAAAATTGGCACTTCTCCGCAGGGCTGCACAATTTTTTCTTCGTGGGTCACATTTGGCCCGCGGGCCACAGTTTGCGCATCCCTGATTTGAAGGGTTGTATTCGACGCTGCCCTCCTTCCAACAAACTGGGGAGCTTAAAAATGCTATTCTCACATGTCAAGATGAAAAAAATAGTCATCAGTCATCACACTGTTTCTTTTTCTTCTCAGAATGAACAAACAGATTGCAACACTTGAGAAAGATCTTCTTGAAATGACGAGTCAGAAAGAAGATGAAGTCGGTGCCAAAGAAAGGTTGGAAGACGTTTTGGCAGCAGTGACACAGTCTTTGACTGAGGTATGAAGTAATTAGGATAGAATTTTCATTTCTATCCTGGGTGACAGGAAAGACGAGAATACAGCTTGATCAATCGTCTGCCACAATAATTATCTCCCCACATAATTCAAACCTGCGAATATGTGTAGGGTGATCAAAGGTGCGATGGCAAGTGTATACTTGGATAGGATAGGATTTACATATTTATCTCGGGGTAGAGGAAAGCCGATAAAACGGCTTAATCATATGGCTCTCGTCCGGTTACCATTCCAAGTCGGGTATGGGATTAGTTTTATTGTTTGTTTTCGGAAGCATGGACTTGGTGGTGGAGGAAGCCGTAACCGACCAGCGGTTACGTGAACCACCCAACGACGGCGAGGAGTCCAGCAATCCTCTCGCACATAACCATCCCTGCATGGGATTCGAACCTGCGAACCCACGCAGAGTAATTAGAGGTGCGGTGGCGAGCGTATTCCTAACGCTTAGCCCGTTGAGTCACACCGCCACACCTGACGCTCCACATGATGTGCCATCGTGTTTCAAGTGTGTGTTCTACTTTTCTATGGATAAATCCAACTAGGTTTTGTGGAAGCAGTCACTGATACATAATGAACTACTACGTTTTGGAGCCTGATTTTTTCCGGTCCATCATCACACTCAAAATTGGGTACTCCCCTAATATGTGGTCCAGGTTAGGGTTAGGCCATAATTTTTGTCCCATTTTCCTTATTTTAGTTCTATTACGAGTTCGGGGACTGTCTGTGTTAGCCAAGTGAATAACCCCTTACCCATAGGTTTCAGTCTCGTTACACAACTTGATGTAAAGTAGTCGAACAAAATTAGTTACCTCCATATTGGTACACATACTTCTGGAGCACCCCAAATTGAACTATTTATTACTACCAGGTTCTTCAAACACCAGAACTGGACGATGTTGATACGGCAGTGAAACGGCAAACCATGATAGAACGGTTGTTACTTGTGCTTAACTCAGCTGTTATCCTTGGTAAAGCTCCACCGCCAGCTGATCTATTCAAACAAAGACCTAAGGTAAGATGGGATACGATTTTCATATTTATCCTGGGAGAGAGAAAATTCATTAAGACGGCTTAATCATATGGCGAACCATGGCCTCTCGTCCGGTTACCATTTCATGTCGGGTATGGGATTAGTTAGCCAGTTATTGTTTTCGGAAGCATGGACTTGATGGTGGAGGAAGTCGACCCGATCGGCGGTTACATGAACCACTCTAAGGCGGCGAGGAGTCCAGCAATCCTCTCGCACATAACTATTCCGCATGAGATTCGAACCTGCGAACCCATGCAGGGTACGGTAATCAGAGGTGCGGTGGCGAGCGTATTCCTAACGCTTAGCATGATGTGCCACATCGTCGAGGCGGTGTCGTTGAGAGTCTTTGAAAGGGGGTCACGGGAACAAGAACAATATTTTCGGCGTAGACTGATATAATATCAATTTTAATTTTTCAGGCTGTGATGGCTCCCTTGATTCCTAAGTCCAAGAACAGGCAACCGAAAGGGCAGACACTGACTGGACCATCTCTTCATTCATTCCCACATTACAAGCTCGGTGACTTAGGTCTGGTACCCAGGCCGCCTCCAGCTCCACAAAACCGGCCACACGAGACTGTTGCACATCTCTCAAACACAACACGAACCAAAGGCGGCCAAGACAAGAAATTCGTCGAATTTTTAGCTTTTAAACAACCCTCAAAACTGCCAGCTATTCCACAAAAAATGACCTGATTTTATTGTAGAGAATTTTTTTTCATTTCTTATCACAAATTTTACGATATATATATCCGAACAAACAGTTTTTGTCCACTTTAAACATGAGTATAAGTTAGTATAAGTTTATTTTGACTCCATAATCAGCATAATCGACGATAAAATAATTGAGGAAAACAAAATAAATAAAACTGATTATAGAATTGGGCGAACAAAACTTAAAGTGAGGTTTAGAACGTACAGATTTTAGGATGAAAGGTGTTGTTAAAGGAAGGAGTACATGTTCCCCCAACCCATTTAATTAATATATTCTTATATTTTATATTTATATTATTAATTACTTTGTGGAAAAATGCTATTAAACATTTATTTTATTTGCATTACACTTAACCCCTTTAATCAAGGAACTAGATTTTGGTAGATATATCCTAATCTACCATTATTTACTTCCTGTTGCATCGTGTTTCCCTGAAAATAATACCTAACCTGAATTTTTGAAATGTTTTTAATATAAGCCCTCCCCTTAAAATATGACCTAGTCGATAGCGTGAATTTTTACTGACCTATTCGATAGCAAAAAATCGCTCCTGCAGGTTTTAAATGATTGGCGATTTAAATGATTGCTATTCTTTTCTCAAATTTTGTATTTTTGCCCTTATTTATACCTAAATGCAAATTGGATCCAAGAAACACTTTTGCACTTTAAACAATATTCTTAAACGTGGGAGTCAGCGCTTTATGGAATGAATTTTTGTGACATTTTTGATTGATGTATGTATGTATGTTTATTCGTCTCGTAAAAGCAAAAACACAGGAGTTAGTAAATATCAACATTGAAGACGGGATGTATACACAAGACCATACTGGCCTAAAACACATGAACGTGCGGCATACACCCCTTATGATAAGCATAAAATGCAATAAATCGAATAAGTCATGTAGTCAAGTGTTAGTTAAGATAAAAAGAATTCATTTAATATATTTGTAGAAAAATGTTTATTCCTTCCCAAAATTTATGTTATTCATGCCAGAATAATTGGCTTTCCAGCTGGTTTGAGTTTAACCCCTTTAATTCGCAAATGTTTGAGATCAGGAAACTAGATGTTTGTATATATTAATCTTTCTTCGATGTTCACTTCCCTGTGTTTGCTGTGGACAGTAATATTTTCTATTTTCCTGCATCATTTATATAATGTTAATGGACCTCCCAAAGTATGCGCACCAAGATGGCGCACAACCTGAACTCAGCTTGTGTGCCAGGTTAGGGTTCAGGTTGTGCGACATCTTGGTGCGCATACTTCAGGAGTACCATGTTAATAATCTGTGAAAAATAATTGAAAATATTTCGTTCATATCATTCGTTAGTTCTTCCCAGCCTAGCCAGGCATGCATTTGGCTTCACTTGTATTATGTTTATATGCACAGTTTCATTGAATAGAATTTAAGTTTGTTACAATTGTCGTTATTGGCTAGAATGTTGGGCCTACCTATGTTGACATTTAATTAAACGGGGAAACATGACCTTCAGCTCTGTGGGGATAGGATTTACATATTTATCATTCAGCCAGTGAACATCTTTTTTTCGTTCCGCGATGAGACGTTGAAGATAATTTTGGCTGCGATCGCAAAATTTTCGCGTTATACCACGGTTACTATAATTGGTTATATACTAATAATTGGTTTCCTACATTCATGAGCAAAATCTGAAGCTTGGTTCATCCCGCAATCAGCTGTACATGAAGACGAAATCGTATGCGCTCGCAAACAAGTTTGAGGGCAAAATCCTCTTTAAATGCAGCTGATAATAGACAATAGTCCTATTTGGCCTAATAAACAAATCTCCGTAAAATCAACTTTTATTCAATTCTTGAGTCCTGAGTCCAACGCAATACAATTTGCCTTGGAAATGGTAGGTGAACAAAAAAGGTTAAGAGACACTGATTTGGAGATTATTTTGCCGGTCGTGTGCTGTATATTTTCCAAGTCAAAAAGTCAGTATCAGCTTGAAAAGTCGGTCAGCTCTTTTAACAAAAGAATTTTTGACCAACAACAATCCAATGGCGTTAAAGTCTTTCGCCTCAACAATCGCTCACGAAGATTAATATCAATGCTGTGTGATAAAAAATTGTACTCATTGTACTCTCGAGTTAAACTTTCATATTTTAAAAGCAGACATGTGACGTAACATGTTTCCTTTTCTTAAAATAAAAATCTTATTGTATCTATCTTAAACCCTCCGTCGCAAGTGGGCACTATAACGCTTTTGAGTCAAGTCTAGCTTCGGTGGAGTATCGTACGTTTTGCGGTCTGTTATATTGTTGTACAATGTACGGTAATATTTGTGTTATACCTAATATGCCTAATATCCATGCGACAGGGAAAGGTAAATTTCATTTTCATATATAGATTTTGAAAACTCAGAATTACGCACAAATTGAAAATGAGGAATGCTGGGTATATAAAACAAGCTAACATTTCGGAATAGGAAATACTGAAATAAGGTAAAGATTGACAAGTTGCGTTTATCAGGCTGCCGCCAGACAATTTATTTTTATTTTGCCTCGCTTCTGCGCTAAGCTTGTTGTTAAGTCGCCACGGTTCATTCTATATAAGACAGTTGGCTGATGAACTCTACCGGTACGGTACGTTAGTTCGTGTAGCAGTGTATCAGTGATTAACGCTTCATACGTACACCGTATCACGGTAACCAGATTTCCGGCATTTGTTTTGATAGGAACAAGGAAAACAGTAGGCTACCTGAATACGGTACTGTGACAATACAGCAATACCCTACCGTTCCGGTGCTGCAGTATACAGGTATATGGGACCGGCTGACAGGCATCTGAATCTGGATGTCCGAATGTTTCATTACTTCTGTCAGTTCTGTGTGATACCTAATTATACTCAGAATCTGAAAAAAGAAATCGGAACAATGGAGAGTCTAGCATAAAAAATGAAATCTCATATGAATACTATTGTGTATAATTTATTTTATACAATAGTGTCAGTTAAGACCTGGGTTACCCTGGCAGCCAATATATTGTATTTCTTTTGTTTCTATAATTTTGGATGTTTAGTTAAAGCGCACCTAAACTTGTTGCAGCGGCCAGCGGGTGTGACATTGCTGCAATGTGACACGCCGGTAAGGAAATGGTGACAATGTGACACGCCAACCCTTACAACTGTACAACTAGATCCAGTACAATGACATCACATTTAAAGAAGTTTTAAAATGATATTTAATGGTCTACCTTCGTAACTTGTTCTAAATTTAAAAATATTATGTAACTTAATGTGCACTGTACAAAAGAAATAGGGTTGGCAAATGTCAACAGTATTATCATGCCACAAAGTTCAGGATACAGCTTGTTAACTTCTTACATTCAAGTTTTATTAAACTAATGCCTTAACAGCTGTATGATGTTAAAAGTCTTGGTGAAGCATACTGCCAATATTGACCCATTACTCTTTCTTTTTGAAAAAACATTTCTGCTATTTGGTCAATTGTGGAAGATTTTTGTATTTGTTGGTAAATTTCGAGACTTAAGAAAAGCGCCTAATAATGATCTGGCGTTCTTCTCTATCTGCTGAAAGCATAGTTATCTTCTGGATCCTGTTTATTCTCATACAATTTTTTTTGTGGATGTGAACTTGAATCGATGGTTCGGGCAAATATTTACGCTGACAGCATCATCTTACTTTGTTAGTTAGTTCAGTAATTTAAGATATATCTGCCTAATAGCCTAGTCTTATCACACTAGCTTTTCAAAGCAATAAGATTTAAAAGTGAATGTTCAGCAGTATACGTAGAACGGATATTTCAACAAACTACATAATTTATAATCTAGCTGTTCTCCTAGACCTCTTCAATATCAACAAAATTCAAAACGCCAGCAAAGGCACACAGTTGTATAATGTGAGCAATCTGACATCACTAACGTTACAACAGGCTCCAGTTTCTTCTGTATACTGTATCTGTAAACCATGAGCAAAATATGTCACTTGGGCACATAATATCGATGTGTTCTCTTTGTCATTGTAGTTATCAATCGACGCAGCAGAAAATGCGACGAAACAGGCAACTAACCAGTCCTCTTGTTAGTCGAATTGTCCGTGTAGTATAGTTGTCCATCATGCTTTTTCACTGCAGCGGTTACTCTTTCTTCTAAGTAGCTGATGTCTATTGAAATATTGTCAGTGAAAGGAGTCAGTAGCTGATGTCTATTGGAATATTGTCAGTAAAATACATCTTAGTAGCTTCACTGAATGAACTGCTATAAAATACTTTTTTTACAGTTTAATTATACCAATTATCTGTATGAACCTCTGGTTCCATTACATTTGAACCCACGTACATTTGAACCCATGACAATTGCACCTGCATGCTATTGCACCTATGGAATTTTTTTTGTTTCACGGATAGTTAAACCCATACTAACCCTAACCCATGGGTTTTAGCACCCGCATATAGATTGAACCCGTGGATATACGCATGGGTTCAAATGTACATGGGTTCAAATGTACGGTCACCTGAACCTCTGTATGAAATTTAGAGAGTTGTTGAAGAGTTCTTTATAAATATTATGTCTTCTTCGGATCTAGTGTAGACATCATTTTTGGATGATATAGTCAGGTGGTGGTTGGGAATAACATATGCAAAAATGGTTACACCACGCTCGCTAGCAGTTGTTGTGGTATGAAACTACACAAGACCCCCCTTTTCATACTGAGTGGTGTGTCTTTGCTCTGAGCAGAATGTTGTCAGAGTATTATATCATTGGGTGCAATATGCAAACTGCTGTGATAAATTTATGTCAAGTTGTTCATAACAAGTATTTAGTCCCTGTGAACTACTGCAAATTGTGATATGGTATCTCGGAAAATGCAAAAAAATTCTTAAAATATTACGCCCTCTCACTGAGCGTCAGTTTTTTTACTATGAGCATAATATCGCCAGATGAATATGGCCTCTGCTATAAAATACAAAATCCTTGTTTAAAAGCAAAATCGTTTTTTAAGTAATATACGCTACTGCAGTGTGTCCTGAGTGTACTGAATATATATATTCTTTATGCTATAGCTATCAACATGATGTTCTTAGTGCTGACGTGGGCAAACTAAGGCGTATGGGCCAAAACCGGCCCATTGGGTAATTGAATCTGGCCCGCCTGATGCTGCCACAACCAACTAGAACCAAATTTTAATGTTTCAGTTAAAAATAGCTCAAGGAATTTGTTGAGATTTCATTCAAATTTAGTTTGGGCACGAGGCTTATTGTTTCTTATCGATTTTAATTGGTAAGTATGTTGATAGGTATTTGTCTGTCTGTCTGTTAGATGCACGCGATATTGAAAGCGAGATTGAATCTGCTCCAGATTTGCATGTACGTTTATCATATCTCGGACCAGACGCTTATTGATTTTGGGCGAATAATGTCGTATAAATAGCAAGCTTTTAATTAA